CGGGACACTAGCAGGGGTTCACCCTCAGAAGTTCTTTCTCTTTTAGTTATTGATCTGCCTAATCTCTGTGGAAATAGGCTTGTCCTTGCTAAAATATAGTTGATGTGTTTCCTTACTGGAGTTGGTACTTCTAAAAGTTGATTTTTTGAATTTTTTTTTTTTTAAAGACATGCATACAACCCTCACCACCCCCCAAACCCAATGTACCAGTTTATTGCTGGGTCTTGTCATCTCATCTTGCATTATGGTTTTACTTCCCTGAAACGAGCTGTTGGGGCAAAATAGAATAAATAGCATTTTTGGTCTAGATAAAAATCTAAGCAAACATGAATAAGGTACACTTGTGATGCTTGTGTTGTCATTTACTCATAGTAAATTTAAAATGTGTTAAGTAAAATGAAAACCTGAAATACCATATTGGTACAAGTATGTGCATGTACTTGATATAATTTCCTACTTTGGTTTTAGTATTATGCTATTTCATAATCCTATGACAGCAACTCCAAAAGAAATAAAAAAAGTTTTTAAAATCTTACAGGGAAGAGCCAAATTATTTTGGCTGTAAAACATGTTGTAGCACTCTCCACCTTGCCCTTTATATTAATTGGATTCCAGTGGACTACAGGAAATTTTATGAAACATTTATATTGTGTGATGACTGTAAAAAAAGTGTCACTGTTACCTGATGTCTATTTTGTACACAGACTTTTTGTTAAATCAAAATTCCCAATCCAGGAATTCCTGGCTGTCAGCCCAGATACTTCAGTTGCAAGTCTTAGGTTCCTAGGATTTTAGGTTCAATGTGATAAATTTCTCAGTCCTCTCAATACTTATTTCAGATGCTGAAACTTTTAACTAGATTTGTGCTTATTTTAAATTCTATTCTGAGTATCAGTATAATCTGAAAGTCACTTCTGTGCTTTTTGTGGCATTTGGGATGGTAATTTTAGCTTCTAAAGCTTTCTGGTTTCATATAACAAACTTCATATACTCTTTCTGCAGTACAGGCTTTTTTAAGCAAGCTTTGACATAGTTTAAGTTTTTTCCTGTGTACCTGTGTATGTACATAAAGCACATCTGTGCTTTTATCGCTGCTCTCAACAAGAGGTCCCGTTTCAGTAGGTCAACAGATGTTGAATTGAGTTTCGTTTTGATAATCCTTACATGGATGCATGCAAACTTTTAATAAAAAGGTAAGAAAATGTTCACCTGATGATAGTTTTTAAACAAAATTTTGTTACTATATTCTGAGGCTAAAATGTGATTTAAAAAATTCTTCAGATAAGCTGAAGTAGGGAAGTTCTTGGTATGCAGGATAGCTTCTGCAAGGAAAGATGAAGTCTATCATTTTGCAGCTAAAGATGTAGTTGTTTGTGGTTTGGAGTTATTTCTTTATATGTTCATTTCCTTTTACAACTGTCTATCACCATGGGGAAACAGCATTCTTGACTTGGCATTTTTGCAGTAACTGAGATGTATTGACCTTCGTACTAAACTCAGCAGGTTATGTGCTAGACTGACGTCTGTTCAGGTAGGCTAGGTTTGGTGTAGAGGCTGAAGCAGACACTATTAAAACAAACCAAACAAAAAAAGGCACCTAATTCCATGACTGGTTTAAATACACTTTACTGTCAAAAGATGCAATCCTACTCTACTGGCTTATTTTCTTGTTCTTTTTTTTTCCACCTGTGCTAGTGCAAGTATGCACTTGATGTCATAACAAAAAAATTGGGGTGACTGATAATGTTTAAAGATTTTGTTTAGGTTGGTTTTAACGTGGGTCAATTTGTCTGGTCCACAGAATATTTGGGACAGAACAAACAAAATAGGAAAAGTGAATATGAGAATGAAAAGAAGGCAGGGCTTCCTTCAGGACTGAGTTCATCACGGGTGCCAGTTAAATTTGTTTAGGAAACACAACATGGGTTATACAATAGTAGCTTGTAAATTTATTGATGTATTTAAAAATACAAGAATTTTGCTTTCAGTTGATACACGAGGTTAAGGACAGTACTGGAACTGAAGCTATGATCATTTATGAGCTGTAGGTCTCAATACACTATTACAAATTACAACACACTTGAATTCAAGATGCAAAAGACTTTCAAGAAATTAGCCTGCACATGCATGACCAAGCAGTGTGTGGAAGTTACATATTTTAAATGTAGTGAGTGAATTCATTCTGCGTGATACTCACTTGGGCTTAATGTGTAACAATGTTGTTGTGGAAAGCCTCTGAATAAAATTATTTTCTATATCATGTATTTCAGGAACCTTTTATGATGTTCTTTTTCAGTTAATTCCTGGTTTGCAAATTCAAGCACTGAGTGCTAGTGGTATTGAACAGTTGCATGTATAACTTGATCGCATTCCTTCCATCTTTTGGGGCACACTTGTTGCCAAGTGGAAGGAGGTGGAAGGTATTAACTTCAAACCTGAGACTTGGTTAGGTATACTGAGTGGTTGCTCAGGGGAAAAAAAAAAAGCCCCGAGACTTTTTTTTTTCTTCTCTTTTACTTAGCTCCTGGGCTCTTTCCTGTGTCAGAAAGAACTGAAAACTATTAGTAGACATCTAATAGATGAGTTATCACACCACAGCTGAATGCAGAAGAGGAAGGTGGAATAACAGTGGCATTATTCCAGGACTTAAGTCCAAATGAACAAAGTCCAATTTTTAGCTGAGAAAAGGGAAGTTGTTGGGATATCTACTCAGGTTGCTGGCCTTTATTTGTGAGAGTTAGCATTCAGACTGAAAGGTGACTCTTACCTCCACAAAATTTATCCTGGGTTTAACTAATTCTATCTGGAAATTGACACCACATTTAAGGAACGTATTCTGGGTGGGTACACAAATCACTTGGAGTGTCACTGTTTTAATGAAATTATTTTCTAAGTGTTTTTTCTTAAATCACTAGAGTTTTTTTCATATATGAAGAAGAGATCTGCATCCATATGGATTCAGTTATCTTAAAATAGCTAACTTATTTCTGCACAAGGAAGAAAATGAGTACATGCATTGGCTAAGACTGAACTGATCCAACAGCTTGTGTTTGCTGAGATGATTTACTGGTGTTTGCTGGTGCGATGCTGCCCGTTTTACATGTGCTTTGGTTCTGTCTTCATCTTGAGTAGGCTCCTAATCACGTGGGATGTTTTTTACCTTTGTTTCCTGATGTGTAGCAAGTTGAGTCTGTGTGGAGACAAGTTCAGGATTGTATGCAGTTGAGGTGACCTGGCCACCTCACTAGGGAGGGCAGACATGGGAGCACCACCGCTCTCATTTACAAGCCTGGGTGTAGGGTGGTGATGTTATGGTTGTCTCCTGCCTTAGCAGAATTCCACTGGTGAAGAGCAGCCTGCAGCTGTGTGAGGCCAACCTGGGCTATGTGCTCTCCAGAGCAGTGATTCTGCCTGTATATCATGTCTAGTGTCACATAGTGTAGCTGCTTTTTGAAAACATCGGGTGTCATAGACCATAAATGCCAAAAGGTATGCTTTTTAGGAAGCTTGTGCTAAGGCATCAGATAGATGGAAATCATGCACTCTTATCTTCTTTCAGTCCCACACCTGTGTTTTGCCTTTGTGTGAATAACCACATCTGTAAGCCAGGTTTTCAAACCCTTCTCAACTCTTCCTCTTCATGTAGTCAGCCCTTAAATCCTGGGGTTTTTGTTCCCCCCACCTCTGTGCCTACAGCAATTTGCAGCCTTTTTCTTCATGGCCTGTCTCTCACTTTCTGCTCCCCAGGATCTGCACTGTATACTGCCCTTCTTGACTAAGGGAGGCCAGATGTGCCTCTGCACTGAGAATCGCCTCTGCAGTGTCACAGTAACTCCCTCTTCCAAACTCCTCGTGCCAGAAATAGAGTATTAACACAAGGAGAGGAGACTGGAACAGTGCTGCAGCTTCCATGGAACACATGCCTTTGCAGGTCACTTTCTTGGCCAATTTAACATGCCAGAGATGTTCTGAGAAAGGAGATCAATTTGGGAGCATATAGCAAATACAGGTGCACCTGTGACAGTACAGAACAATTTAATCTACATGTTCACAATATTCGTAGAATCATAGAATCAGTTGGGTTGGAAGGGATCTCCGAGATCATCACGTCCAGTCCTTGGTCCGCTACCACTGTGGTTGCTAGACCAGTGGAGTCAAAAAAATTCTTAGTATAGACTTTACCTTTGTATCACTCTCCTATCTGCATGTTTGTGTTTTTGAAGGGGGCACACCAGTTCAGTTGACAGTAGCACTTCTTCATGTGGTAACTTTCATTTTGCAGTATTAATAGTTTAACACTGCCAACATAGGACTAAATTAGGATGTGCTTGTTGTATGTTTAGCAATGAATCCTTGTTGGAATTACCTCAGAATTGACTTCCTAAAATGTTTTCAAATGCCTAATAAAAACATTCAGTGAATGCTTAAATGCCTAATTTTTACTATTATAAACTTACTTCTAACCTACTTTTATGTATTTTCAAGCCTAAATTTGAAAAGCAGTACTGAATGAGAACTATGTAAATGTTATGAAATAAAAATGCAGCTGAAAACAGTGATAATGGTGTAACCTCCAATGGGATTGGCTTATTTTGCTTTCTCAATCAGTGTAATTCAATTTGGGATTTTTTAACATTGTGGGAATATATATAAACATGTATGAAAAGTCTTTCTTGGTAATAGTCAAAGGAGCATATCTAGTCTAGACCAACTTCTGCTTGAAGGTTTCTTAGCTGAAAGGTTGATAGCCATCCTGTTCTGTGTTACAAATTTATCATACTGATTGGTGAATGGTTTGGAAAATTGCAAGTCATCATGGGGAAAAAAGTATTTTTGATATTGGTTTAAAATCCTTTAAATAAAAGGCGATCTTGAAAGCGTTAAAGGTTTTATTTTATGAAAGTACTGTGTGTTGGAAGCTTAATTTATTTTATCTAAATTGCATAATGCCTACTGACGAACAAACAGCAAAGTACCTAATTGGTGTTTTTGTTCTTCAGAAATGGAGGAACAGAATGCTGGACCTGGGATTGAAGATTTATAAAGGATTATGGGATTATACACTGAAGAGCCAGCAGGCGGAATGCCTGAGTGACTGAAGAAAATGGGTGCTAATGCATCTAACTACCCTCACTCGTGTTCCCCAAGGGTAGGGGGAAATTCACAGGCACAACAGACATTCATAGGTAACTCTTCTCGGTTATCTCGTCACTTACATAAATGACTTGCTGGATTGTGTATGCACTGGATTTGATTTGCTTGCAGAAATGTTGTGTAGAGCTTTTATTTTCTAGGTCACCAGTTTGAATCCATTCAAACTCAATCGTGCATGAAATTTGGTCCTGTCCATCTGTTTGGCCTATGTATGCGATGGGTTGATCTGCCATTTGCTGGTAAACAGTTGCCAGGTTACTTAAATAAAATAAAGGGGTTTTTATAATTAAACCTTGCATGCTAGTTTTCCTGGTTTGAGCAGTTGCTTTCTGTTACCATTTTCTGTTCTTCTTCAGATTTTCTGTGAAACTGTGTTAGAGCATATAAAACTCTTGATCATCATTATTCATTGTAGTATTGGCATTGTGTCCAAGTGAATTAGTTCCTTATTGCTAGAAGGGATGTCTCTGATAATAAACCTGTTAAAGTAACAAACAGTCTTGAAGACAGCTTTTCCTCCTTTTCCCGTGCCTTTAAATGGGGAATGGAGGTACTTACTGTCCTAACAGTATTATTTACAAGCAAGAACCTTGCTTAGCCAGAAACATGAGTTGAAGGGCCCTTAAGACATTATTTCTTTATTCCAGTCATAACTGGGGCAGGCATTACCTTTGTGTTTTTCAGTCTAGTACAGAAAGACCTCGGTGGAGATCTAAGTACTGTCACACTATAAATAATAAATAGTTGCATTATGAATCTAAAAGAAGGCAGTTTTTGAGAAGATAAATATTCCTTTAAAAAAACCAACCCTGACAGCCTGAAGAAGGATCTTAGCAGTAAATAACATCAATAGTTTATAAATGCCTTTCTCCTTTATGCCTCAGCTTGCAACACTGAATAAGTAGTTATTGATATTCAGTGTTACTTCTTTTTTAATCACCATTGAAAGCACAGTGATATCTTTAGCAGAGGAAAAACAGATTTGGTTTGTAAATTTTCTCTTTTGTCTCAGCTTTTGTGGCACTCCTTACTCAGATCTTTGTAGAGGACAGGCCACAAACTGTTACATTTAAGGACCCATGCTCTGGGCAAAAACGTCCATGTGTGCAGTCATAGCATGTCAGAGAAGAACTTAGTACTAACATCATGTCTATCTGTGCTGTAAAGTTCCCCTTAAGGGTTTATGGATTTTCAGTGTATTGTAGCTAACAATAATAGGTTTGCCCCAGTTTACATGTAACTTGCTAAAAATCAGAGCTAAAATGTTTTTATTATATGTCTTGATGTTTTTTAATCTGCCACTATATTGAGTGAAGAGAAACCCTTACAGGCCTGGAAACAGGCAGATCTGCATGCTGAAACACCTTTTAAACAGATTTGAAGAGGAGAGATTTCCAAAGGCTTCATTAATTCCCCATAAACTTTCAACATCATATGTGGAAGGTTTAGTTGATACTCTTCGTTATTAAACTCAAAATAGAGACATATTATGTCACAATAAATTACTGACCCCCATTGCCTATGGAAAATTGTGGTTGAGCCTCTTTTTGAAGAAGACCTAAAAGCATATACTTGTCTCATCTTAGGCAAGGCAGATAAGTGGTCTGGGTACAATTCTTGCTGAAATCTTTTGATATTATGGGGTTCCACGAGTGTTTCCATCACACGTGTACATCTCTGCTTCCTGCTTTGTGACGTTTGGCTCCTCCTCATTTTGATTTTTGTTTGGGTGATAGGTTTGTATAGCTGTCTCTGTAAAAAAGAGATGTATCCTAAAATTGATAGCTGAGGTTTCCATCACTTGTCTTAATGTTATATCAGCTTCTATAGGTTTGGGGATTTTGTGTTTTGGTGTTTTTCTTACATTTTGGGGGGGTTCTTATGTGGAAGGCATTACATCTGTTTACTGCTGAAGTAGAACTGGGGAATAGAGTTAGAATATCTGCATAATTTAGTTTTCTTATTCCTGGAAACTGGATTTAGGCCTGTGGGTTTGTTTTAGACATGCTGCTTTACCGTTAAAGCACTGCACCATTTTACATTGTAAGTGTAGGATGAACACTAAAAGCTAAGAACTGATCTGGCAAAGCACAGTAGTTTCATAGTATGAGCTCTTATTGTTAGTTGACTTCATGCTGAACTTGCTTACAGTTTATGAAGAGCAGATAAATCAGTAAAAGTGGTGTAGTGCACTTATTGTAAAGAAATACTTTTGTTCTAGCGAAAGCTTAGCTAGTCATCCCATTGTTGTTTTGTCTACAGCATTAAGGAGGAAGATTTCACACCATTTTCTAGGGTAGTACATCTGTTCAAGATGTTTGTTTTTAAATAGAGCTCTATACTTAGATTTTCAAATGTGTGGGCATGCAAAGGACTAAACAGATCTCATTTTTCATTGTCAAGTGCCCATGTAGTTTCTCTGCGTAGTCTTCTGTTTCGGTAAATATTTACCTGTCCAAAGCTAGGCATGGTCTAAGGGCATGAAGTAGCTATTACTTTTGAACAATATTTAATAGATTGGTGCCTTTTAGTGTAGAAGTGGGGAATAATTTTTTTTCCTGCTTCTAATGCTGCTGCCTTATGAAGGAATACAGGCAGGTCAAAAAGGTTCTCTTCCGGATTCTTTCTTTGAGGGATATGGAGCCACGAGCTGTTGTGAACCCAGAGAGGCCATGCTGGTGCATCTATTTCTACCTCTGACAAAGCAGTTGCGTGGTGGTGCCGTTGTAGCAGTGTTTTATGTATTTGTAAGGGTTAATAGCACTGTTTGCAGTACTTCCAGAGCCAAGTCTTGTAAGTAGCTCAGGGCTCACAGAGGTTTGAATGGCGTTTTAGTATTTTGTGGTGATTCATGTGCAAGTAATACCTCAGAGCAGCCTTCAGGGAAGAAAGAAATTGAAACTTGTGGTGTCCTAGTTTTTCTTTAGTAGAATGTAAGAGAATGTTCTGCAGACTCAAATTTGCTGTTAGAATGCAAAATAAAAGAAATGAGCTGCCATGGTTTTTTGCAGCAGAATCTGTCATTATAGAGTGACCAAAGTGTAGTTAAACTTTTATTGTGATATGTAATCGAAACTCTTTAAATGAAGTAGAAATTTTAGACTTAGTCTCTATCAGCAGGAGGCTGAATCTCTACTTTTTCATTTTCATATTTAGTATAGCATGTGGAAGGAATTTTTATGGTGCATTTTGCAGCACAATCTCCTTGTTGAAGTTGTCTTGAGTTACTGCTGTTCTTTTCATTTAAATGGATATTTTTTCATATCTTGAAATTTCAATATGATTAATAACATGTTGCATGATTAAGCAAATTTTAATGTAGCTTAGATGTCTTTCCTCAAATAAAGCAAAGTTCCTTCCCAGAGTTTTCACTATTAGATGAATCATAAAACCACTGTGTTGCATGGTTTGTGGGAGTTTTAATTAGCTCAGCATAAAAGCCACTGTGTGAGTTTTCTTACAGTTATTGAGGCTTAAACAATAACACAATTTACAGAAATCTTAAGATTGCTACAGTTGTCATGCTCTCAAATACAACTTTAAATTATTCCTGTGTCTTTCAAAGTTCAAGAAATAGTTATTTGAAATAATGTGGTAACTAAAAGCACTGTGTTTTGACAGGCTGGCCCACAACATCACTGTCAAAATAGCATTGCAAAACATTATCACAGCAAATCTACCTGAAATAAGTGGAACTGGGAGAGTGCCATGATAGAACAAGTTGTAAAAGGCCCCAAACACCCTGGATGTGCTTTGAGCTTAAAAATGATAAAAAAAGGCAACAAGTAGAGAAGCTACACAAATGTACTAATGGAAACATGTTAACTATTCCTGACAGAAAATGGACAAATACTATTTCAGATGAAACTGTTATTGAGCTGTGTACCATTTGCAAATGTTTTCTTCTTGTTTCTTCTTTGGTCCAAAAGTAGGAGTTTGGTTTGTGTACTTTCTTCTTTTGTTGTCATATCTGAGGCTCTTCACCATCTAGCTTAAAATGTAAAGTTCCTGTAAATAAACGTAAATTAGAAAATAACCCTTAAAAAGAAGTATGACTCTCACATTGAAACTATGGTTTTTAACTACTTTTTTTACTAAAACATTACTTTGGTTTTCCATTACTTGCTGAGCTGCAGATTCTGGCTCTTTTTTTTTTTTTCTTACTAAATTGCTATCAGTGTTAGTGTATATGCAGCTAGGCTCAAACTGGCAGTCAGCAAAGGCTCCTTTAGCAGAACAGGTCAGGTATGTAACACATTATCTTGAGGGGAATCCATTTTTGGTTTTTGTTTCATTATATGTTTGGTTCATAACATAACTTCCCTATAAATGATTTTTGAGGAGAAAAATAATTATAGGAAATCTTAATACAATAAAACTTCCCTTCTCCATATTCTTTTTGATGGTGTCTATGCACAAATTAGCACCCGTAGTTCTGTGGAAAGGAGCCCATTTTATGTGTTTGACTTCAGTATTACTTATCATATGACAGGATTTTTACTTTCTTGTTAAATTTGCACTGAAAGTAATTAATTTTCCTCAGTTTCCCTGAATGTTTTGGTACTGCATTCTTTTTTTTTTTTTCTTATGACTATAACTGTCTGATGCCAGGTATGCTTTTGTTGAAATGACACTTAATGCTAGAACAGAATTTGAAAAACACTTTGCTAGGGCCTTCCTACTATTTCACTGAGATCATACTAGTGTTTAAAAAGTTAATACAAGACACTTTTAATGTTATGACCACAGTATGACCTAACCAAACAAAAAAACCCACATCCAACCCCAAAACCCAGCAAACTATAAACTTTGTAGATGGGGGGAAAAAAAGCGGTTTTGTTCTTAATGGCCAGAAAATGCTTCAGTCAGGTTTTCAACTTGTCAAATTATCTGACGTGCAGAGGAGGAAAAACTGTGTAACTTTCAGAGACGCTGGGTATTTAGGTGTTATGGACCTTCCTTTTAAATTTAAAGAATAAATGTGTTCCATTTTCCTTTTTACTTTCAGGGACATCATCCTACTCTCATCAAGGTTATGGCTGTGAATCGAAGCTATATAGCCTTGACCATGGCCATGAGAAGCCTCAAGACAAGAAAAAGAAAACCTCTGGCCTTGCCACCCTCAAAAAGAAATTCATTAAGCGTCGGAAATCGAGCCGGTCTGCTGATCACGCCAAGCAGATGCGCGAGCTCCTCTCGGGCTGGGATGTCAGAGATGTTAATGCATTAGTAGAAGAATACGAAGGAACATCAGCCTTAAAGGAACTTTATCTACAAGCTAATTTGGCAAGACCAGAAGCCAGGACGCTACAAAAAGACATGGCTGAACTTTATCAGTACAAATATTGTACTGATGTAGACTTAATATTTCAAGAAACCTGTTTTCCTGTGCATCGTGCGATATTGGCGGCAAGATGTCCATTTTTTAAAACGCTACTTTCTTCCTCACCGGAGTATGGGGCAGAAATAATAATGGATATTAACACAGCTGGCATAGATATGCCTATGTTTTCTGCTTTGTTACACTACCTTTATACGGGAGAGTTTGGAATGGAGGATTCAAGATTCCAAAATGTTGATATTCTTGTTCAGCTTAGTGAAGAATTTGGAACACCGAATTCCTTAGATGTTGACATGCGCGCACTGTTTGATTATATGTGCTACTACGATGTGGTTCTTAGCTTTTCATCCAATTCTGACTTAGTTGAAACTTTTGGTGGAAGTCAGAACTGTCTAGATGAAGAGCTCAGAGCTCATAAAGCTATTATTTCATCACGATCTCCGTTTTTTCGTCACTTGCTGCAGAGGAGGATACGAACTGGTGAAGAAATCACAGACCGAACTCTACGAACTCCAACTAGAATTATATTGGATGAATCTATCATACCAAAAAAATATGCTAAGGTCATTTTGAACTGTATGTATACAGATGTGGTGGACCTTTCGGTTTTGCACTCCAGTCCTTCAGTGGGCAGTTTAAGCGAAGTTCAGGCTCTTGTAGCAGGAAAACTAAACATGACTAGGGCTGAAGAAGCTATGGAGCTTTATCACATAGCACTGTTCTTGGAGTTTAACATGCTTGCACAAGGTATGTAATACTGTCCTTGCTGTAGAACATATGACCTTACTAGAACAATTTTAGCTATTTTGCAGTGTAAGTATGTTTATTGTCAGCTATCAGTGACTGACAGTTCCTTTAGAAAAGGAATTTGTTTTCTGTCTGTAAGTTGTCAGTAATGCATCTGTTTTCTAGGGACAGAAGAAATGCCATGTAAGAGCTTTTAGTTATATGGTGTGTTGTTGAAGCATGCTATCTGTATCAGATATGTATAACTGGTCTCGGTATTTCTGATCCTGATCTAATTCTGTAATCCATCTATTGGGTGTAAACCATAGGGAGAGGATATGAGAGGAGTAAATATTTGGACTTGTTAGGAAGTGTCTCAATGTGTTAAAAAGGCTGTAAACTTGAATGATTATTTCCGTAGCTTATGTCAAAGGGGGCGCAACAACCCTTCAGTCTTGCTGTTGGGGTAAATTTAAACAGCTTAATTGCACTAATTTTAGGTCTTTAATATCTGCTTCTCTGTGTACAGAACTGAAGGCAGGGCAGTCAGCATTTTCAAACATAAAGTTTAGAAAGTTTTAGTACTTCAATTATTCTTGATGATCACTACAATCTTGATCACATACAACTTCCTGCACATAAAGGCTGACCAGGGTTATTGCAATCTCTGAAGTGTCAGAGCACCAGTTGGTGAAGTAATGACACCTCTTGTGGTTGCAGGAGCTTTACCTTCAATTTGGTCAGTTGGTGTTTGAACTATTTAGTGGCCATATTATACATAATGGGCTATGGGAATTGTTTCAGGCCCTGCTGGTGGGGAATGAGAATTTTACTTTTGAGCTGAGAATGGGAGAATGGAACGCACTGATACATCAGCAACGTGATTTGTTTAAGCTTGGTTATTTTTTTTAACAAAAGTGACTTTTTACAGTAGATCTGTACATCTGTAACTTTTAGCTGTCAAATTGAATTTGACAAGATCGAAACCTTATAAACTGTTCAGGAGATTTCAGTAAAATAGGAAACTTCTTAAGGAGTAGACACGAAAGAGCAGGTATAAGCACTGCAAAAAGAGATTATATTTGTAATGGGTTCTCCTAATAGTTACATGAAACTGAGAGTGGTAAAGATATGGGAAACTAATAAAACTGCTGTAGCTTATGTAGAGCTTGGCATTAGAAACTAATTTTCAGATTATGCTGAAAGTTGAAATAACCGTACTGCAATAAAACTGGCAGAAATCAAATGAGACTTCTTTTCTGAGGTAACCTGCTACAGGATGTGATTGAGCTGTTCTTAGGCTCAGAATCGTTGAATCCTAGAGCATTCTAGGTTTGAAGGGACCTCAGAAGATCATCTGGTCCAAGCTATGTGGGAAAGGGAGCCTAGGTGAGATAATGTAGCATTCTGTCCAATCACATCTTGAAAACCTCCAGTGATGGGGACTACACTGTGTCCCTGGGGAGGTTGTTCCAGTGAATGATTGTTCTCATGGCAAAAACATCTTGTATTGAGATGTCTCCCAGTGCAACTTGGACCTGTTGCCTCTTGTTCCCTTCATGTGTCTCCTTGTGAAGAGACAACCTCTGTCCTCTTTTTAGCTGCCCTACACTACCTAAAGGTACTGGAATACTGTGATGAGGGTTGGCTCCCCTTGAACCTTCTCTTCTCCAGGGAGAAAAGACTTAACTTCTTCGGTTCTTCCTCACAGGCTGGGTTCTCCAGCACTGGGATCATATTTGTGGCACTCCTTTGGACCCTTTCTGGTCTGTCTGCATCTTTCTTATTTTTGTGGTTGTTTCCCTCTGAGTACACCTAGAAGCTTAATGTTGAATGGAATGCAGAAGGGGCAAGAAGTGTCATGGTAGTTGAACTACAGTACTAAGTTCATTTCTATGCAGTATTCACAAGTTAATAGTACTTGAGAACAACTCAGTAGGCCAGCTGAAAGCAAGAAATGAAAATGGATTGAAATTAAAAAGGTGGTAGGAGTATACAGGTTCTCAGTTTGGTGCATGCACATACATGAGTGCTAAAAGGATTTAACATGCTCAGGCAATGGTAATGAGGGAATTTAACTGTGAACTAAACCCTCAGTAAGACACTGAATAATTATGCAGTTTCATAACTGAATAGGGTGCAATTCCTTCCCTCAGATTGGAAACCTAAACTGTGATCTGGAGGTGCTCTGATGAAGCAGTATCAGTTATATCAAAGCAGATAAGCAATGGCAGAGAACTTTGAAGAGAAACTTAGGTAAACTTATAGATAGAAAAATGGCGCTTTTTTTTTGTTAGTAAATGCTGAAAAAACAGAGATGATGTTTCATTTGATGCTGAGTTTCATTATTTCTGCTCACTTTAAGTTGAGCATGCTTGGATCAACGTGTCCTAAACTGGCACTCTTTTCAGTAATGCACTACAGAACGGTGCTGCTCTGGAACGTATATTGTATGAGTCAGTCGTAACAAGATCTTAACTTTTCCCTGGAGGTTTTCCTGCAGCACTACTTCTAGGAGAGTGAAAAGAAGGGCTACAGGAGGAGCTGCTCTGGGCTTGCAGCACCTTGAGAGCATGCTTGGGTGGCTGGAACCAGTGACTGCAGGAGAGCAGGCTCAGTCTTGGGGGCCCTCTGGATGAACCAGAGCTGTAGGATTTTGGAGGTGGTCATTGGGAGGAGGCAGAGGGATGTAGTGACCTACAAAGGTTTTCTTCTTTCCCTGGTAAGCCTCTTTCTGACCACAGAAGTGGTGAGATTGAGGGATGGGGAAGTTGTTATACACAGGGAAGAAATGCAGTAAAATTAAGCAAATGTTGAAATCTATTATATTATCAAATACTAGCAAATGTAAATTTTGCAGCCCTTTAGACACTGAAATTTTAGACATTAATTTGAACTAATTAGGGTTTTACAAAATTTGTGCTGCATTCCCTAGCTACAGGAGAAAGTAGCAAGCACTCTGTAGAAGATCTCTATATGCCAGTGAAGTCAGAATCTAATAGTTTCATACTTAATTTGCAGAGTTCATATTTAGGTCATTGGTCCTGTGCAGACATTGAAGAATTGTTCTGGTATAATCTTATAATGAAAATTAAAGGAAGGTTATTTGATCAGGAAAAACTATATGCCTGCACTTGACTGAGATCACTTAATGAAGTATGTGCTTTAGTAGTGACCACCATTCTTGTTTCTGCACTTGATTGTAGCACCTTGTCCTCACTAATTACAGTACTTAACATGAGGTCTTCATTTCAGTAATGTCCCTCCCTTTCCCTGATTTCATAGCTAGCAGACTTCTGTGCTGGGAGCCGTCACTCAAACATCTGACTTCTAGATATTAAGCAGAGGGATGCTGCAAAAGACAGCATTGTGTTGGTGTTGGAGACCACTGAGCAGGCAGTTCTCGTGAAGTCTCTCAGCCTGGACCTCTGACTGTGTTTTTCCATTCTGTGGTGCAGCAGGTGTCCAGTCTTGCCCAAGTGCTGACTGATCCCCTCAGCTGGCTTTCGCAGTAGCTATGTCTTAAGTTTCTTCTCTAGATTTCCACACCCCCTGGCTCAAGTTTTTTGTTTCAGTTCACTCGTGCTGGCCAATTGCAAACTTGCTAAGGCTTGTCTCCCTGGTTTCCTAGAAAATATTTTGGGCTCATTTATGTTAAAGTCTGGATACTCTCTCCAATTTGTTTTGCTCATTTTACGCAGTTTTGCCTGGGTGTTTGTAACTGAGTGTCAAGTGAAGTTGATGTATTTTAAGGGTTCTGATAAACTGTTTTTATTTTCAACAGATTTTAGTTTGATTTATCTTCAGGGACCTTTCTAAGTATCCAGATGTTGTAATTTTTCTTCAGTTTCAGCAGATGATTCAGCTTTGACTATTTCCATGGAAATTTTCCCATTGCTAACACAGTAATACTCTTTTCTGACTATTGTAATTTAATAGATAGTTTCCTTATGATGGAGTCAACAATAGTATGGGCATGTAGTATGACTCTACTGTCCAAGTAAAGCAGGGCAGCTTTATTTAGAATTTGCTCTGTCTTCATCTTAATTTCTTTCAACTGAGGTTGTCACTTATTTTCCAGGAGAAACTGAAATGGATCTTTGAACTAATTTGAGTAAGTGAACTAATCAGCAAGCATATCTTGTCAATAGAGCTGATCATACTGAAACCTATTTATTCGTAATGGGACTGAGACTGCTATTAGGGGTGCTGAGTGTTTGTTAACTGTCAAAAAGTGAAGCTCTTCACTTCTTTCACAGAGGCAGTGAGGATTAGAGCCCTCTCCAGGAGGTCCGAGCACATCCCTTACTGTGCTCTGCCTGCTTATTTCTGCACTCTGCTGCAGCTTTTGTGACTTCACGCTACCTCGCTGCTCTCTGTCAGCTGTTCTGGTGCAATCATTTTAATACATTGACTGGTCTTCTTCTGTAGCAAAATTATTAAAACCAGATCAGTTCCCTGTTCTGTTCATCACATGTTGTTAAAATAATCCCCACTTCCAGTCTTACTGCACTGCCATATCCACTGCTTTTGCAGGGACATTTGACTTCAGTGTCTTAATTTTATTAGATAACTGTATTAAATACGTGAATCCTCTACTGCTTCTTGGCCCTGTTGCCCACTGTCATAAATAGTCTCACTGAGGTGGTGGTACAGTATGTTTTTCTGTTACAGGCATTTGGATGCTGGGGCCTTATGAAATAGTTTTGCTGGGAATCTTTTCTGCCTGCTGATTCTAAAAAGTTTTCTAAATAAAAATTGACAAAAAATAACTATTTCAGACTTTTTGCTTTGCTTTTATTTTTAGGTGTGGAGTTTACTCTTGACAAGTATAAGAACTTAGAAACTTTATTTTAAAGCCATATTCAGTAGTGCAGCCTTTGATCTAGAGGCAGATATTGCCTGACATCAAAAGTACTCTTGATCTCGGGAGGACTGAAGTACTGAAATGCCAGGAATCCCATGGTAGCAGTATTAAATACACATAAATATATTGTGGGGAGATTAGTGCAAGTGTGTCA